ATGTATAAAGAATTGTAATAAGATGTGTAAAGTACATGTTGACTAGATGAAAGGAATGATATTTTTTTATTAAATTCTAAATAAATTGAGTCATACTTAAAAATGAATATATTTTTTTTTTGTTAAATTATAAAATAAATATAGTAATAGTTGTAAGGTTCCAAAGTATTTGTCGTTATATCTACCATAATTTCATAAGTTTGTTGGAAACTAAAAGTAATTTTGAAGCGTAATTGATAACCAAAAAGGAATTATGTTTTTAAATTTATATATAACTATAAATAATTATGATAAAAAAATAAAAATTCAAAAGATATTATATTGCTTAATTTGTATGAATTTTTTATATTATCATTTTGGATCATAATAAACATTTAATAAACATTGCACATTTAGAAACACCAAACAATTATTTACAAAAAAAATGAAAATTCAAAACAAGCTTCATGTAATATTCTCAACCCTAGGTTTAGTGTGAAATCATAGCATATATTACATCAATTTGTTGAAAATGACATCACCTATTCTATCTATTGAGGTGGGTCTCAATCTCGGCACATTTCAGATTTGAGCTTTTGTTGAAAATAACATCATTTATTGTATCTATTGAGATGAGTCTCAATCTCAGACCACTTCAGATAACTTAAATCTTCATGGCTTACCTTCTCGTCCCAAACACAAGGAGCACATGTAAGTTGCATATCCCACATCGAAAACGCACAAAAAAAAAATGTTATTTAACTACAACATTGAGTTTGGTAGCTAAAATTCTATGAAGTAACCGCTGGGCCGCGCAAACCATTTTTGGTTTTTCGGTTTTAGGTTTTCAACCTATTTAACTAGGGTGCGGTCGGTGTTAGGCCTCACTGTTTATGTACCTCTAATCGGACCGACGTGCTGATCGGTTTTCGGCTAAAACCGGTTGAACTAGCCGGTCCAGTCCAATTTTGAACCACGGTTAGAACAATAAGTCTCAAATTTTCACATCACAAGATAAAATGACACCTTTAAAAAAAATTTGCCAACATATTTTCTTGATGTGCTTTCAATTTATTCCCAATTGTTTTTGAGTTTATCTTTTAGTCTAAAAAAATTGCTTATGTTTACACCAAAGCTACTATTGAGAAGACTATTCATGATTTATCACTTTGAAAGATATCCACCAATGACCTCTCCGTTTTAAATTGAGGTGAACTTTCCAACGGGTTTTTTCAATGATATTTTAGATGCATCTTTTGATTAGATTCATTGTTGGCATTATGCATATATATATATATATATATATATATATAATTGCTGACATGTAGAATTTAATAAAACATTTAATGAAACCTCCATTCATTTTCCCGCTTATTTTTTCAATTAATGTAGAACCGTTACATTTTACATTAATAAGGTGTAATAATAATTTTAATATAATTTATTCACTACTAACACTAATTGATTACAACTTTACATTAAATAGTATGTGGAAGTTACATACTTATAAAAAATTGTATTGCAATTTTTTTCTTTAAAATACTTTTTCTAAAATTAAATATTTTTGTTCTTTTTAAGCGATTTTTATCTAATAAGTTAATTGGCATGAGTGTCATAATTAAACACCTTAAAATCACATAAACAAATGCTATAACAATGATAAAATAATTGTAATACTTTTCTAACTAATTAATTGTATGGTCTCTCTAAATTACTAAATTATATTAGTCATTAAAATTTATGGCATCAATATAAAGATTCATACGTAATTTAAATAAATTATATTTACATTACACATTTGCATGTAGTCCAAATTTAAAATGTAATACATCAATTATTTAATATAAAATTTGTATATATTGTATACATAAATATAATAAAATTTTTATTTTTCTTTGTGCATGTGCATATGATGAATACTAGTTTTTTTCCAAGGCTAGCCCGAAACTTGGATTTAACTTTGTTAGTCTTTTCAAAAGTCAAAATTAATGTTCTTGCTGCAAATGAGGATTTCAAGAAATCCGTGAATTTAAAGACATACGACACATTGTTGTTTTCTTTTTTCCAATATGGAAATTTGGACTTGTTGTTATAACACATAAAAGTAACATAAACATTCTGGTCGGACATGTTAGCTCGGAGTTGAATGAAAAGGGTTTAGAGACGAATTTGCAAGAAATAATGAAAGTAGAGTATTTAGTTGCAACATTAAAATTGTTGAGTTTTTTTAGCAATTCCACAAAAACTCACAATTTTATGTGCAATTAGGCCTTGCAATAATGTAATTTTTTGCAGTTTTTAGTGATTGCAATAATGTAATTTTTTGGAGTTTTAGTGATTGCAATAATGTAATTTTTGCAGTTTTTAGTGATTGCAATTAGGCCTATCGTTGGCGCCGTCTGTGGGACCCGTAAAAAAGTCAAGCGGAGTTCCGAATGAAAAAATTCGAAAAATCTTCGAGCAAACCTCCTTCTTCTCTACTGGCCCCCTCCGCCGCCGGTCGCCGGAAAATGTGCTCCGATCGGAAAATCGTTCGCATCATTGGAAAGATCTCTTCGAAGTGAATCTATCCCTAAAATTTCTTGAAAAAATTCATTCGGGAAGACCTTCAATTTCGCGGTCAAAGTTTCCAGATCTAGCATGAAATCGGTCAAAATCGGGCATTCAAATGCATTTTACCGACGATCCGAGAAGGCTATGGAAGATTCGAGGGTACCATCGGAATCCTCTCGACGAGACGAGTTTCCAGGTCTACACCTCCGTCGGACTCCGCCGCCCGCCGCCGTCGGCCGCCACCTCCCCCGCCGCTGACCGCCACAAAAAATCCTCCGATCTGAAAAATTCTTACACCATCATGAAGCTCACGTCGTTCTCTTTCTACCCTTAAAGTTTCGTGAAAAAATTCCTCCGGGAAGGACGCTAATTTGCTGGTCAAAGTTTATAGATCTAGGAAAGACTCAGTCAAATCCGGTCATCTTCCTCATTTTTCCAATAATTTTTCGGTGAACCACCCCAATCCGACGACACCATTGGGTTGTTCTAACCGTCGAGACGCACCAATTGATGGTCGATAACGCCGGAGCAGGTGATCTCGGTCGATGTCGTTTTTCCGGTGAGCAGCCGTTGTACTTGATCTCTCTGCTTGCTGTCCAGGTGGGATTTCGCGCAGCCCCAGCCCGAATCCAACGTCTCTTGCGAGCAGCCCAGCAACTTTGGGCGAGGCCTAACGCGCGGAGGCCCAGGGAGAAGAGCCCAAGAAATTCCAGCGCCCATCTACTCCAGCTCGCGGGCTGCGTCCAGCCCGAGCGGCCCGCACTCCTCACAGACTTCAGCATGCGAAGCCCGCGCCAGGCCCGCGATTCAGCCCGCGTTGCGCCAGTTCTCCAGCCCGTGAGGGACCGATTTTGGCCCACGTACAGCCCAACTTTTGGCCCGTAGCTCCACCTCTTTAAGCCCGCGAAGGCCCAATTCCGACCTGCTCTTCCACAGCCTTTTCCCAGCCCATTTTCTCGGCCCAGCAGCGGGTTCTCCACGGCCCAGCGCCCTGTAAGCAGCCTGCAGACTATTATCCGCGGCCCAGAGACATTTTGTTGCGGACCATTACCTCCAAGGCAGCCCAGTGAACAGAAACAACCCCGGTTTGAACCCAAAATTGATTCGGGATAATTAAAAGCGAACGAGACGGTAATTGGGAGTAGCATTTTCATGAGGAAGGTACGAAGTGGATTTAAATTTTGAGCTTGGAGATCTTTAAATTGGTAATAATTGGGAATTACTTGGTTTATGCACGGATAAATTATGTGATTTGCTCGTGAAAATACTTGATTTGATCGTGGCTATTTGATTGGTCGTGGTGATGCGTGATTTGTTCGCGGTAATATTTGATTTGGTCGACAGATTATTGGATTTGATCGTGGAGATATTTAATTTGCTCGTGGATATATTGTTTTATATTTTTGTGGAGATATTATATGATTTGCTCATGGATACATTTGATTTGCTCATGGAGAAATTATGTGATTTATGCGTGAATATGCGTGGATATTATCTGATTTGGTCGAGATGTTATTCGATCTATTCGTGCAAAATTATTCGATTTATCAGTGGATATTATGTGATTTATTCGTGAATATTCGTGGGCATTATTGGATTTGATCGAGGATACATTATTTAATTAGTTCATGAGGATTATGCGACTTTTCTGTGGAAATTATTTGACTTAATTGAGGCGATTATTCAATTTGTTCGAAGAGAATCATGTGATTTATTCATGGATATTATTTGGTTTATTCGCGGAGATATTTGATTTGTTCGAAGAAATGATGATGCTTTATATTGGTCTCTTGTTTTTCTCGAGTGGACAAGGACAAAATGGATGACATGAAAATAAAATGTCTAATGATTTTTATTTGAATTTTGATCAAGGAAAATTCGTGACCATTGGGATTGGACATCCATGCAAACCTTCTGACAAAGAAATTCGGCTCTCAACAAATGGTGTAGACAAGCCAGGAAGAAACAACGAAATGACTCGACTCTCTACAAGTTATTGCAGACGAGCTGTTAAATTTTGAGTGCAAAGGAATGGGCAGAAATCAACCTCTTTGGGAAAGGTATGACAAATTGGAATGGTATTTTTGACCCTCAGGTACAAAACTATTCTCAACTCTTGATGCGGTGGTCGAGTATGATCGACACACAATTTATGGACACGTTGAGGCTTTCAACATTATTTTTTGGAGAAATGTTAATTGTTTAAATATTTTTTGGCGAAATTGATGAGACATATGGACATGGCTGGGATTATTATTTGGATGACTAAAAAAATAATCGGGTGTTATTATATCTTGTTGTGTTCGATCTTTTCCTTTTCGACCTCAGTGGCAGGTCGAGGAATTCGAGCACAGGCCATCATGCACAACCTAAAAAGGGAGGTCGAATACATTGAATATTTTCTATTATTATCTCGTTCGATGTAATTATACAATTGAGACACTAACGGAAATGATCGATTACTATCCTATCTTGTTGTATCTGGTGTTTCTCCTTCGACCTCAGTGGCAGGTCGTCCGAGTGAAGAAAAATGTCCCTTGTTTTCGGAACACCCCTGATCCTGCGATAGGGGTGGGCAAGGGTCACTTGTTTTCGAAACACCCCTTGGGATGGGCAGGTTGGTCGCCTGTTTTGAACATCCCTCAGATGGGTGGGCAAGTGTGAAGATAAAATCCACCATGACTAAGGCCTCCGGGTTGGGTGGTCGCTTGTTTCGGAAGGCCCCCCCGGGGTCGGCAAGTGCCTGAAGACAAATTCCACCATGACTAAGGCCTCCGGGCTGGGTGGTCGCTTGTTTAGCACACCCCTTGGGATGGGCAGACTGGCCCCCTATTTCGAACATCCCTTGGATGGGTGGGAAAGTGTGAAGACAAATCCACCATGACTAAGGCCTCCGACTAGGTGGTCGCTTGTTTCGGAAGGCCCCCCGGGGTCGGCAAGTGCCTGAAGACAAATTCCACCACGACTAAGGCCTCCAGGCTGGGTGGTCGCTTGTTTAGTACACCCCTTGGGATGGGCAGGTTGACCCCCTGTTTTGAACATCCCTTGGATGGGTGGGCAAGTGTGAAGACATGGATAGCTCGAGCAGACCTCGGAGGCAGGTCGATGATTTACACTTGGTTCTATTTGATCTGGTATTACTGTATACTTGTGCATTTAACCCCAATGGCAGGTCGATCAAACTCGCTATAGATAGCTCGAGCAGGTCGATCAAAATCGCTACGGATAACTCGAGCAGGCAGGGAGATGGGATTCATTACGACTCAAGCAGGTTGATTACATTTTATTTTGATTATGGTTTTGTCGAATCGACTTTCGACTTCAAAGGCAGGGAAATAGGATTCATTACGACTCAAACAGGTTGATTACATTTTATTTTGATTATGGTTTTGTCGAATCGACTTTCGACTTCAAAGGCAGAGAAATAGGATTCATTGCGGCTCAAGCAGGTTGATAGCATTTTATTTTGATTATGGGTTTGTCAATTTTATTTTTCGACCTCAGTGGCGGGTCGAGTACGTTTATTATTGCTCGAGCAGGAATATACA